TTCCATTTCCATTTTTTCATCTCTGAGATTTCCCTCCTATCTCAATGACGGAGACTGCGAACTGTCTCTGAAAATGTGGGAAACCACATATAGTGCATGGAGCCAACTGTTTCAGTTGCATAACCCCACCACCTTTTGTGAAGAATCACATCCACTCATCTCATGAGCTTTCCCTTTGGCCTCTATTAGACAAGGTTCATTGCCATTTTAGGTTAAACCTTTCTGTCCAGTAAGTGCTTACCCATCATATTCGTGAACGCCAAGGTACCGTGAGAGAGTCTTCCATTTTAGGATAGGCCCCTTTCCACATCGGTCTATGACGCCCCTATCATCTTATGAAACAATCTGACAGATTCAACAGCAAATGGATAACCCAATTTTATGGTGCATCTCCTCATTACTTAAGGACCCATCTTCATGTTAATGATGTAAGGCCTTTAGAGAGTTCATCATATGAATCTCCCTATCACATGCACTTATATTTCACTAGAGGGAACAAAATATTATGCCCTACTTCTGACTTAGGTCACACCAAAGTGGCTCCTATTGACTTTCTCAAAGCCAGATTTAAATGGGCCCTAAACAGCTAGGGTTTCGCACGGTTACTCTTGGGTAGGAAGCTGATGTGGGGCCCATCAAGTAGGAAGATCATCCAATGATCTTATGACAACATGGCAACGATGTGCATTCAACCATAGTGTGCGAAAGAGCCACTATCCAATTAACATGGGCCAAGTGCTTATGGCCCATGTACGTAGCATATCGCACATCCATACATCACATGCATGAAATAAATTGATCCAATCAATTAAAATATCTGTAAAACCCTTCAGTAATTAGATTAAATCAGTATTAGCCCAATAGAGGCCATAACATTATCATATAACATTATCTAGGTACATGGGTTGTACTGCAAAAAGCAATTCGGCCCATGTAGCTAAATCAGGGCTGATTCAGTTTTATCATATTAAAATTGGGTTTTTACAGAGGTGGGCCGAATTAAAACTTGAAGTGGGCCATCAACCCTTTGGCCTAAATCGAATCTGGGTTAGAAAAACCAACCCCATCGAACCAACAATTTGGTCCAACCAGTTTCGACCAAATCTGGTGCAAATCGGCCCAAGTTTTGGTGTCTAGTTCAAGATTTAATTCAAGAATAATGATATGAAAAATAAATTAATTCAAGATAATCAAATTATCAAGAAAACAAAATTAGAGGGCTGCACCGTGATTTTCTTGGACATCCTGCAAACCTGCAAAGAACAACTAATCGTAGATTGCAAAATCGTTATCTACAAAATCGCAGATTGCAGAACTTTTTGCGAAAACTTCTTCTCCTCTGTTGTGCATTCCAACAATCTCCAGATGGAAATAAAATAGAAAAACCTAATTTTTCTATTATTACATCACATCAAATTCCTATACAATTTGTCTAAAAATAAAAAAAAAATATTTACAGACCAAATTGAATAGAAAAGAAACAATAGGGTGCGCTGATCTTGGCACTAGAAAGATTCGATCTCCATCACATGTGCAGGCCAAATATTCAAGAAACATTCACAAAACAATTCTATAAATATAACAGAATAATAAAGAATTATTTTCCAAATCATCCGCACAAAATCTAGAAACCAATTCCTAGAAAAAACGCTAATTTCGCAAATCGGGTAGAATGCCTTCTGCCCATTTGCGCAGATTAAGATCTGATCTAATTTGGTTTAAGACTTGAACCTGGCTCTGATACCAATGAAGGGATGGGAGATCCATCATATGGATGGCCGAACCTTACAGGAAGGTTGGGCGAAATTTCAAAAATTTCTTTACCCCCCATCCGAGAATCCTATTCCCAATTAGGAAAACTACATTTTCAAGGTTCGTTCTTGTAACCAAACCGGACCAAATCTGAAACCAAGATTAGGGAGGGATATACTTGATATGGAATCCACGCAAAAAGCTCCTCTCAACGTAGGTGTTTACGCCCAAAGAGTGTACCAAATTCTCTCTCCATTGAAGATGGCACAACTTAGGATGAGGTAGGATCAACAGGTAGTTCTTCACCAAGAACCTCTGATTCTTCAGCAAGAATCGAATGGGGTAGTGAGCACAGCTTTAGAATTGTTTCTTCTAGCAAGAAATAATATCAAGATCCAATCTTGATCAGTTCCAAGAAATGGAGATCAAATAGGGTAGGGCGGCAAGAGCAGGGAGAAAAAGAACTGAAGGCAGAAGTAGTCAAACTGAGTTGTCTTTTCTGTGTTGTGTCTTTTTCAGGTCCGCCCTGCTATCTATTTATAGCCTTAAAGAGACAATCTCCTAATTTGATTAGGAGTCTCCTGATCCAAATCTTATATGTTGATCCATACCCAGATTTACCCCTATTTAATTAATCCAATTAACCCATTTCGAAATGGGCTTTAGGCCCTTTAAGCTTTTAGGCTCACTTCCTTTTAATGTTGGCTAGCTTGGCTCTCTTTGTATGGCGTGGGACTCTATCATTGATCAACACATCAGCCACATGGGTTCAGCCTAGCCTCTGTTACAAGGCTTGGCCGAATTTACTGCTGAATACAGTGAACCCTCGAGTCCATCACTATGGGCTCTTAATGGGTCCAACATTTACACTAAATGGTCATTGGGTTTAACTATCTTATGAAGGCCCAAGGACTGTGTGCAAATGCAAGATTAGCCCATCGGGTATAACCCTCAATGATCTTACACTTAACCTCTCAGCCTTTAATGATCAAACACCGCCCGACAAGAGAGGACCTATCCCTCAGTTGCAAGGTACAATGCTGCATTCTCTACTCACATGGATCATAGGAATTAAAACCTTTTGCAAACAATTTGAAACCATAATATATATAAATATATTTTGCAAAACCAAATTTCAAACACATTTGAAATCCACTGCCGACAGTTTAGGTTTCCATTAGAAAGAGTGCATTTTCCCAATCATTTACTTTGTCCGACAAAGGGGTTGATCCTGTCACTATGATCACCCACTCAGATGAATTCTCGGACTGTCCCAATATACTCAAGTTTTGACCCCCTCTAAGGATTTCACTGTTTGGCATATCAAAGACAGCCCAATTCGACATTCAGTGCAGTACCATAATCGAGTCTAGGGGTTAGGTATAACATTCCAATTTTGCCCATTTGTCTATAAGTTCCAGTGCAATATTGGAATTTGGTCCGGTTCAGGGTTTAAAAAAAACCCACATTGCATGTACCTCAGGTCTCACCCTAGCAACTGAGTCAAGCCACCCCATCCAACTTAGTGGCACATCATTGTCAGCTTTGGCAGGATAAATCTCCCCAGATCTATCCAACGGCTGTGAAGATTCTAAACTAATACGAGTCTCATATGTGTCCAATTTAAGGGTATTACACAGAAACACGCCACAATAACATGAATCAAATATGTACTTTATTCATTTACAATAAATGTCATAATGTACATCATGCTGATCGGCGCTAAGGGCATACACTGTCTAACACACAAATGGTCAAAGGCGCCGAGGTGGTTCCCTAAGGAGGATCGCAACACTCAATAAGCAGATGAGGTGATCAGCTAGGTCAAGCTAGATAGGATGAGTTGGTCGGAGCTGGGCAAATGAGTTTGGAGAGCAAGCAAGATAGAGTGCAAAAGTGTGTCCAGAAGAAAGTACCTTAGGTGGTGTACCCTTAAATACTTGTTGGGGAGTGCTGTTGTGCTCCTCAGTTGAGGGACATGTGTCATGTCTCGAGCTCTTCTTTAACTGAGGTTCCAGGAACTCACTTTGAATCTTCCGTGTGAGAAGAAGGATGAGGAGTGTGAACTGTTTGGCTTCATCTAGCATTCACCACGTGCCACATCGCTGTTCTTCATATCAACTGAGTTTAGAACTTGTGCTAGTGCATTGGCTCAGCTAACTGTCCTGCATCATCGATCCACAACGGCATGGCGGTTGAATAGGGGTGAGTGATGATCCCATCATGATTCAACAGATGCAATAAATTACTTTGACAACCTATTTTTTAGTTTTGTCAACTTCCTTGGAAGAGATGGTGAGCCTCTTTCTCCTGCCTTTTTATGGATTCATTGGCTTTACATTTGCTATCTTGCTGAACTGTGAGAAAAATGCTGTCTACACAAGAAGGGGATGCAAAAATAGCAACAAGATGTCTAGTGGATGCTTTTTCCTCCACATAGACCAAGGGAAATTGAACTCAGAGTGTTTTCCATTGTTAACCTAGTTGGCACAAACATCTTAGTCGAGTGCTTGTAGCTTAGGATTTTGGGTTTAACTAATCAGATGCTTAGGGATCACCTGCAGCACGGTTCTAATGTACATTGTCTAATCAAGGATCAGGTGAAAGGGATTGTCATATAGAGTGTATCTCATGATCATGACATCCTTATTCTTTTTCTTGGTTAACTAGGGATTTGCTGAGTTCTTGTAGATTAAGATTTTGAGGTTTAACTGATTTGATGTTTAGAGACCTCCATCTGCAACATGGTTCTAATATATGATGCTTTGGCTAATCAAGGATCAGGTGAAAGAAATTGCCATATAGAGTTCTTAATGTCATGATCACGATATCCTCATTCTTTTTCTTGGTCAACTGCAGAATATATATGCACTAAGTTATTTGGAAGTCCTAACTCCTAAGTTATTTATTTCTATTGTATACTCTTGGTCAAGAAGGTGCCAGCTGATTCAGCTTGTGAAGTCTCCTGCTGGTTGCAATGGAGATTAGGATTGAGTTCTGCCTTTATTGGGGTTGAGGCTTGAGTGGGTTTCAGATCCCCGTTGTCTAGCCCATTGACCTAGTTAAAAAAAGTTGCAAGATAGTTATATATATATAGTAAATCAGTTGATTTACATTTTTTTGATGGACATTGGTTGATTTACAGTTTCTTGCTGATGACAAGTTTGCTATTATATTTAGTGTGGTATCGGAGGCAATTGATTTCATCATCTGAGACTGACGATGAGTTTTTATTTGTGGATTGGTAGAAAATTAAGGAACAATGCCTGAGGGGATTACAGCAGAGGATCTTTTGAACACCATAATGGATAAGTTTGTAGAAAGTCCCCCAAAGCAGAAATCTGTGTCATTTTTTGAGGAAGATAAATCAAATTCAGTCTCTACTCGGATGAATAGGCTGTTTGGTCGCCAGAAACCTGTTCACAAAATTTTGGGGGGCGGAAAGTGTAATTCTTCCATCATTCTGTGTCTTTTCTTAGTTTTATTGTCATTCTTGTACCATAGTCTTATTACCATTTGCCTTGATTTTGTAGCTGCTGATGTGTTGCTATGGAGGAATAAGAAGATATCTGCAGGCGTCTTGACTGGTGCAACAGCCATCTGGATGCTCTTTGAATGGCTAGAATACAATTTTCTGACCCTTTTATTCTTAGCCTTAGTTATTGGCATGATTGCTCAATTTGTTTGGTCAAATGCTGCAGGCTTATGGAACAGGTTACATGTACATGTTATGCTTCTATTTCTGTATTTTTCTATTTTAATTCTCTAATTTATTAGCTGCATGTGTTATGAATGAAGAAAAGCTTATACTTGTGATTGGCCCATTTAACAGGTCCCCATCTAAAGTACCTCGTCTTGTTTTGCCTGAAGAGTTATTTGTCAACATTGGTGTCTCAGTTGGTACTGAAGTTAATCGTTTCTTGGGGTTTCTTCAGGATGTTGCATGTGGGGGTAACTTGAAGCAATTTCTTGTGGTATGTGTCTTTCACTTGTCGTTTGCATTTCATTACTCTTGCATTTTTCTGCAATCCCCATGCATTGTTCTTCAGTTTCTACAGTTTTATTAGGAAACTTTTCTGGAAAAGAAGACTTAAAAGTTGAATCGTATTAAAAGGACAAGAAAGTATTTGTTTATTTGCAACAACAATATGCAATCACATACCATCAGAAGGAACCATGTGTAGTTCTGCACCTATTTCTTAGATTTTGTCTTCCTGACAGTATTGTCTTTCCGCTGATACTCCATCTACTTGTATTTTTTTTTTTCCTTTCTTGTGGAGGATTGCTGTAATTGTTAAGTAGGGGTGCAACTTGGGCGGGCTTGGGTTGGGCTTTTGTCAAAGTTTGAATGGCCCCAGTCCAAAGGCCTGAGCTTCAAGCAGCGTAAAATGCTAACTCAGGCCAACCCTAGTTGCACCCTTGTTGTTAAGGTGCCATTACTTGGTGTAATGGTAAAATCTCATACTGTCAATCATGAAAATGCAAGTTTGAGTAGAGAGGCCACTTTGTGCAAAAAAAAAAAAAGCCAAAAGCTAGGACCATATCTAGTCTATTCCTCCCAAGACCCCAGATAGCTGGGACCAAGATTGGCTAACGGCCTTTTATGTTGTAATTGTTAATTTTCCTTCATTTGTGATAGTTTAGGTTCTGATTTTATCAGTCTCATTAATTTATCCTTCCTAATTTCATTTCCTTTTATTGTTGCTGTCCTTTATTTGTTCTTAATTGAGCTTCTACAAGAACAGAGTCCCTGTAAAGAAGGAAAAGGTCTCTTAGAACCATATTTAAAAGATGAGAGAACTCAAAAAATTATCCCAACAATGTCATAAAAAATCATCAGAAAGAATGACGGTGAAATATTTAAATATTGTTTATTCCATGAGCTCCAAAGTCTATGATTTACTGTCTTCCCGATGTTATTTATTCCATATAATTGTTTTATTTTTGATAAATGAATAATGATTTTATTAATAAGGAAATGTAAATTCACCCTAAGAGGACAAGCTGTTACCTCCCCTAGAGGTGAGAGCATAACCAAACTCTTAACAGAATACAATCATAAGGTAGCCCAAAATAATTCAACCCTTGAAACCCCTTGTTTAGCCAAAGAATCAGCCAAAACATTTGTCGATCTGCTAACCCATTAAAAGCTAACTGACATATTCCTTGTGAGCCAACTAACTTTGTTAAGAAGATCCTTGTAGTCCTAGAAATCTGTTTCTGGATTTGATGGTCAACCCATTACCACGTTAGAGTCAGTGATTTAAAAGGTGCACCTCAGGCATGCCTAGGCGCATAGGCGAGGTGCATTTTGGGGTGTGCACCTTGCTCAGGTCCTAGACACACCCCTTTCAAAAGGCACATGCCTGGTGCGCCTAGGCGTGTGCCTGATGCGCCTTGCGCCTCAGCCTAGGTGTGCGCCTTTTTAAAATTTTGCGCTTTTTGCTTTGTTTGAGTCTAACGGCTGGGCTGAGGGCTCCGCCCTCGGACCCCCGACCACACCCTTCGAGGCAAGCCTGAACAAGTCTATGTTAGGGTTTGAAATTCTTATTTTCCACAAAAAATAACGATTTTATAATTTTCATTGCCTTTTTAAGAAGATATTTTATTACAATGAATGAATGAACAATACTTAGCAAATAGGGGGTTATTGGAGCTTCAGTGAGCGAGCAAATAAGAATTTCAAACCCTCACATAGACTTGTTTGGGCTTGCCTCGAGGGGCGTGGTACAAAGGCAACTCGTAGAATCAAGAATGCAATATGTTTTACATCACATTAGCTACTGCATTGAAATTAAGTAAAAAAGGAGATTGGATTTTACATGCTTGAAAATGCTTTATATGTTTGCTTTTATTTTTAAATTTTCATTTGAATACGCTTTACATGTTATGTTTATGTATTTTAATTTTAGATAATAGGTTTTTTAAAACATTTATTTTAAAATTTAAGTTTATATTTTTTATTAACATTATGTTTAATATTTATTGAATTTTTTGCATTTTTAAAATTTTTTGGCATTTTTTTGAATTTTTTGACTTTTTTTGATTTTTACCTTATTTTTTGTAGTTTTGTGCCTTGCATAAAAAGGCGTGTGCCTCACCTTGTGCTTTTAAAACATTGGTTAGAGTCTCCAACTATCAAATTTTCTACTCCTAGTTGGTTGGCAACTTGTATTCCTTGTATTGTAGCCAATATCTCAGCCCTTGTAGAATCACCAACTCCCACTGGTCCTGAAAATAGGGATAGAATGTTGCTATCGTTATCTCTTAAGATCCCTCCCATACCTGAAGGTCCTGGATTACCTTGATTGCTGTCGTCAATGTTCAGTTTTACCACACTCTGTAGGTCTCCTATCTACTTGTAGTCTATTCTTTCTGGGGGCTGTGGAGGCCACCTCTGCCCAACTTTTCCAAAGATCATCAAAGGAGTAACCAGTGTTTTAAAAGCGAAAGGCACACAAAAAGCGACATGTTCCAAATGCACCTGAAGTGCAAGGCTCAAGGCGAGGTGCACACCTTTTTAGAAAAGGCACACAAAATTAAAAAAAACGAAAAAATAGAAAAAAACATGTAGAAATTCTAAGAAATCGGGAAAATTTCAAAAAACAAAGTTAATTACTTAATTATTAACTCAATTGGTTAGATGCTTAGATTATTAGACATTACTGAGCTGAACTGAAAAAGAAGTTTAGACATATTTGAAAGTCCTTAGTCCATTCACTTTTGGGACAGAGCTGAGACTGGGAGCCTTGTTTTCGTGTAAAAAAGAATGGAAAAAAAGAGAAGAAGAAGTAGAAGAGGAAGAAGAAGAAGAAAGTGGGGGAAGAAAAAAATAAAGAAAAAACTGAAAATAAAAAAAGGGGCATAGCCCTGTTTTACTGTTTTTATATGAAAACATTGTGTGAGAGTGGGGCGAAGCCCTTGTTTTAGTGTAAAACAGACAAGGAAAGAAGAAGAAGAAACACAATGAAAAAGTGAAGGGGGTGGGCGGAACCCTTGTTTTCAGTGTAAAAAGTGAGAAGAAGGCCTGTTTTCAGTGTTGAAGGCCTGAAGAGTTGAAGACGCTGCAGTTGCTGTTTGACTGAGATAACTGAGACTGAGAGATGGCCTTTGATGATGATAGAACTTTGAAGGTAGCTTGAACTTGATGATCCAAGAAGAACCTGGGGTTGAGGGGCTTTTAATTTGCTGTTCGAGACTTCGACTGAGACTGGGAGTCTGAGAATCTGAGAAGATTTGGGTGAAAGCCTTGCATGGCAAGTTTTTGCTCTCTCGATTGGGTCGTGTATTCCTTCTTTCAAATTTGCCATACCATATCCCAATATTTTGGTACATAAAAGGAAATAAATAATTTATATACAATTATAATCATCTATAAAATTAAATTTGAAAAAAAAAAACAAAGGGCAACTTAAATAGGTGCTTGCCTGGCGCCTGGCCCGAGGTGCAGAGGCGAGCGCCTTCCTAATGTCTGGCCGCCTTGACCCATGCGAGGTGCCTACTTTGGAATGTGCCTCGCCTTGCTCTTTAGGCATGCCTTTTAAAACACTGGGAGTAACCTCTAAACAAATCTGAAGTTTTCAGCCAATAAGTTGTCCTTGCCAGAATACATTTCTTAGTTCATTGATGCTTCTTTCCTTTTGTTGGAATATTCTAACATTCCTCTCCTCCCAAATAGTCCACAAAAAGGTTGCTTTGATGCACTTCCATATTCATTTCGCTCTCTTAGTTGGCCACCCAAAAGTAGACAGGTCAAAAAGCAAGTTTACTTCAGAGGGCAAGTTCCACTTGCACCCAAACAACATAAAGACCCAATTCCAAATATTAGCAGCAAATGCACAAGATAACAAGAAGTTGTGGCAGTCCTCATTATGCACTTTACAAAAATACACCGGTTTGGGGATAAACAATGATAAAGTCTCTTCTTTTGCAGGTTATCCATAGTATTGATTTTATCATAGAAGGCTTCCTGGTAGGGGGAAATGGGCCTTGACCAGATTTCTTTGATAGGGAACTCCAAAGAGAGAGGGGCAGAACAAAGGGACTTGAAAAAAGAACCACAAGTAAGGAACCATTAAGAGTTAAAGTCCAAATTCTTCTATTAGGTTTTGAGAGGTCCAAACAAATAGTCCAAAAGAAGCAAAAGCTCACAGACAAGTGGTTAATCCTCACCCAAATATCTTCCCAATAAAGAACAGAATTACTAGAGCAAACGTCATAACCTGAGGAATTTAAGGAGAGTGCCAGAAATAGCCTTCCAACGTGTTGTGAGCGAAGCCCGTCAAGATATCCTTGCATCCCAACTAGTCTCAGAACAGCCATGAATATTATCCACCACTTCATGCCATGATCTCTCTCTTTCCAGTGGCCACCTCCAAAGCCACTTGCCTAGAAGAGCTTTGTTCTTATTGATTATCTTTCCTAGCCCTAACCACCTCTTTTAATGCGGCTCACTACATCCTAGTTGACCAAATGATCCTTTTTTTCTTCCCCTTGTTCCCATATGAAATCCCTCGTCAATTTTTCAATCCTCTTGTCTTCCCTATTTGGTATCCTAAAGACCGACAAAAAGTAGTTGGCAAATTGGCAAGTGTAGCTTTGATTAAAGTTACTCTACTTCCAAAGAAATGTAGTTCCTCCTTAAGGCTGAGGCTGCCAACCTCTTTTTGAACTTGTCCACCATAGGATTCCAAAACCAACTTTCATTTGGGTTGGCACTTAGGGGAAGTCCTAGGTAGGTCAAAGGCCACTTATAATGGGTGCAATCTAAAGCAGGCAGCAATAGTCTCCAATTCCTCCTCATCCAAGTTTCGTCCAACCACACAACTCTTCTCAAAATTGATTTTCAAATTAGAGGCATTCTCAAAGAGAATAATTAGATTCTTCAAATTTCTCACTTTCACCATGTCACAACTTTCACAAAATATTATAATGTCATTTGCAAACTGAAGGTGAGTTTACCGGAACCCTATTTCTACCAATTCTCCATCCTCTTATTAACACAACCCTATTTGCTTCCAATAAAAGTCTATTAAAAGCATCAACCGCTAAAGTGAATAAAAAGCGTGGCGGTGGATCACCTTGTCTTAGCCCCTACAAGTTGAGAAGAAATCATTGACTAGAATAATGACAGATAGTAAGGCAGATACTAATCCATTTACACAATCTGCCCCCAAAGCCACACTTCTTGAGCACCTCTAGCAAGAAACTCCAATCCATTAGATCATAGGCCTTTTTGAGATCTAATTTACAAATGAATCCTTGATTACCTGATCTTCTCATATTCTCCACACATTCATTTACTATTAAAATTTGATCGATGATTGGTTAACTAAAAGTTTTTCTCCAAGGAGGGTGATTTAGTCGTTGAGCTTTCAATGCATATGACGTCTTTGGGCCCCTGTACATTGTTGTATGCCTCAATATGCCATGAAGCAAAGCTCAAGAGTCTTTCATCTGAGAAGATTGAGTTTTTTTTTTTGTAAAAAATCTGCAATGTTATTATCTAATTTCCTGTAACAAGCATGATTTCCTTTTTACTGTTATTGAACTTTTACATATTTTTAGAATGAATCACCTAATGTCTTCAGCAAATACTTCCATAATTTTTGCTTCCTGATGCTTCTTGAGTCCATTGGTAATGATATCCGTCATTTATCTTTTCCTTTTTTCTCCTTTCTTTCTGGAAACAACTTCATACAATATCATTCTGATGGAGTCCGTTGCTTCTCCTCTCACTTTGTTCCCTTGCACTTTTGTTTTTGTGGTTTTCCTTTTTTTTTCTTTGGGGAGGCGGGGGACCTTGGAAATTTCATTTTCTTTTGCCTCAATTGGTCCTGTCATATATGTAAAACTAAAAGAACTTTTACCACATGAACAAACGCAAGTTATATAGTGGTGATACACATCTTAATATGATATGCATCTTTCTGGTTGAGCCATAATTTTGAGGCCTCCATTCAGGTTGTTGCAAGCTTGTGGGCTGCCGCTATGATAGGGTGCTGGTGCAATTTTTTGACCGTGTTGTATATGGGTAAGGGATATTAGCTTCTTGTCTTATCTTGCCCTTTTATAATTCTTTTAATATATTTTTAGATTAAGTTGGAAATGGATAAGTGCGGTGGAAAAAAAATTGCGAATCTGCTACTTTTTGTTATTAGCTGTTCTGGTCCCTAAAAAATAGAGTTTAGTGAGAAAAAGGAGGGAAGCATGTTCTTTGCTTCGTTTTCCACCCTTTGAAAGGACTTTCCAATCCGTAGATGGCCATTCCAACCGACTCCGTACCACCTGCCTACGAGAACTCTGCCCACATCTACTGATAACACATTACCCCCGTGAATTGGAAACATCTCCCCCTGCATAATATCATGTAGAATGATGAGATGTTCTCCATGTGTGGCTGCGATGTTATGTGAATAGACATGAGCAGAGTTAAAAATATAAAAAAGTAATTATTGCTTATCTTGATTGGATTGATAAAGTTGCACACTATTAGAGAAAGAGACCTTTGGGTTTTCTAAGGCCTTTTGTTTTAATAAATGTTATTATTACATTTAGAAAAAAACATTTAAGAGAGAGAGAGAGAGAGAGAGAGAGGGAGTAGTAATAATAATTTCTGAATTTTAAAATTTATAGTATTAATAATAATTACAAGATTTTTAATAATTAACAACATTTTTATCAAGTAACAGTATTAACTGTATTTATTAAAAATAATGTGTTTATTAATTAACAGTATTTTTAAATAATTATCAGTATTTATTCAAAAACAGTATTAAATAATGTATTTATTAATTTATATAATGTAAGTTAATTTATTAAAAAACAGCATTAACAATTATAGTATATTTTAATCAACAGAATCTTGATTAGATTAATAAAGATGCACACTATTAGAGAGAGACCTTTGAGACTAATAATAATGACTGTATTTTAAAATTTTCAGTATTAATAATAATTACAAGATTTATAATAACTAACATCATTTTTATTAATCAACAGCATTAATTGTATTTATTAAAAATAATATATCTATTTATTAACAGTATTTTTAAACAATTATCAGTATTTATCAAAAAATAGAATTAAATAATGTATTTATTAATTAATATAATTTATTTATTAAATAATTAACGTGTTTTATTAATTAACAGTGTTAACTGTACTTTTAATTAATATAGTAGTTTTTATAATTATAGTATTATTAAATAATCAGAAGTATTTATTAAAATACTGAATTTATTAATTAACAATATTTTTAATTAATATAGTACTTTTAATAATTATAATTTTTTAATAATTAACCATACTTTGCAATATTTTTAATTAACCGTGTTTATTAAAATAATGTATTTTAAGTATTAATATTATTTATTATTCGTATTTTACAATATTAATATTTTTATTAATTCATTAGTTAACGTTTTTTAATATTGTTAATTATATTTCAAATTGCAAGTAATATAAATAAATTTGTAAACAGTAATTGGAAGTAATTTAATTTATTTAAATATAATTTAAGCTATAAATAGCAGAAAGCAGAAATTATTGAAAATAACCAAAAAAGGATTACCATGATTTCCAATAAATATGATAAATTACCAAAAATAAAAAATATAACCATTAAAGTTACATTTTGAGAGAAACTATTTATCTATTTTCTCAATTTTTTGCATTTTTCTTATTTTCTTTTGTTTTAAAAATATAAAAAAGTAGTCATTGCTTATCTTGATTAGATTAATAAAGTTGCACACTATTATTGAGAGAGACCTTTAGGTCTTTTCCAAGGCCTCTTATTTTACTGTATGTTATTAATACATTTTTTGTTTAAAAAAAGACACTAAAGAGAGAGAGAAAGAGGAGGGAGGGAGTAGTAATAATTACTATATTTTAAAATTTACAGTATGAATATTATTACATTATTTTTAATAATTAAACGTATTCTATTAATTAACAATATTAGCCATATTTATTAACAGTATTTTTAATAATTATAGTATTTTTAATTAATTATCAGTATTTATTCAAAAACAATATTAAATAATGTATTTATTAATTAACATTATGAAAATATAATTTATTAAAAACAGTATTAACAGTTACAATATTTATTAATTAACAGTAATTAAATTACAGTATTTTATTCGCTAACAGTATTAACTATACTTTTAATTAATACAGTATTTTTTAATAATTACTGTATTATTAATTAATTAAAAGTATTTATTGAAATACTGAATTTATTAATTGACACTGTTTTTAATTAATATAGTACTTTTATAATTGCAGTATTTTAACTAGTTAACATTATTTATTAAAAATAATGTATTTTTTATTAACAGTATTTTTAATAATTACATTATTAATAATAAACCGTATTTTACAAAATTTTCAATAATTGTAGTATTATTAATTAAATGTGTTTATTAAAATACTGTATTTATTAAAAAACATTAATACTTTTTATGAATTCGTTAATTAACAGTTTTTTAATTTGTTAATTAATGTAAGTTATAATTTAAATTGTATTTTATATATTATTTAAATTATATTTGAAATGTAAGTAATATAATTAAATTTTAAACTTTAATTAAAAGTAATTATATTTACATTATTTATTTAAATATAATTTAAGCTATAAATAGCAGAAAATTACCTTTAATGAACTGAAATTAGCCAAGAAGATAACCAAAAATAATGTACCAACAATTTTGTCATAATTACCAAAAATTATCCAAGAAATTACCAAAAATGGATTAACATGATTTCCAATAAATATGATAAATTACCAAAAATTAAAAATATAACAATTAAAATTACTTTTTTAAAATATGTACTAATTCTATTTTCACTCAACAAAGCTCGCACGGGTCCCCCGTAGTTGACAAAATAACCCAATATTGTGTTGGGTCTGACTCGGGCCAGGGTAGACCCAGTCTTGACCTGATCTATATTTTTAACCTGCGATTGAGTAGATGGGCCAGTTTGTTTCACCACCGAACCTCTCTTGCCTGCAAAATTCCGTTGACTCAGTCAATAACATGGTGATTCCTTTGGTTGACTATTCAACCGTTTGGCCCAGTTAATAAAAATAATCTGTTTATTACACATCACTTGTTTAATGTAATGATTGTATAGAATTAAAAATATATTTATTTTTACAAATTTTCTGTATTGTCTACAGTTTTTTATTTTTATATTTTATTGTTTAATTATGAAATTATAGATTGACTCAGATGATTGGAATGTTGACCTGCCACCAAGATGGAAAATTGATTTTCTTTTTGGGTTGGTTTTAAGAGGATAAAAGGGTGAATAAGACATTTAGATTTGGAAAGATTTTTTTACTCTACTTCATTAAAGGCCATAATTGGAGTATTGGACTTCATGATTAAAATATTTGAACTAAAGTTTGCAAGCTTTAAAATTATATGATGCTATTAAATTATTCTGATAACTTTGTATGACCGGGATGTGAAGCAAAATTCCTGACCAATTGACATTGACAGCCCCAGACCCAATAGTAGTCAGTTGGGGACGACTCTTGTTTACGTGCCAGTGACAGGGCTCTGGAATTTGCTCAAGTCTCCATTGTTCTACGTAATCGTGGAAATGTGGTTTATTAGTAAGACCTCGAATAGTTGGGATTTAAGGCTAAATTGAGTTCTGACTTCGTTTTGGGTTGCTTCAGGATTTGTTGCTGCTCATACTCTACCAGTTCTATATGAGAAATATGAAGATCAAGTTGACAACTTTGTGTATAATCTTCTTGGACAGCTTCAACAGCAATATCGCAAACTCGATGATGGCGTTCTCAGCAAAATTCCTAAAGGAAACCTCAAAGGGAAGAAAACGGAATGAAATGCTGCTCCAATTTCAAAGCTATTCTTCAATAATATGAAGGAAACTGAATTAAATGCTTATTCCTGTTTCAATTTGTTCTTAGTAGGGATTGTCATTAACCATGCTTAGCTTCAACTTATACTTACTAATTATGGTAGTGGGATCCCTGACGTCCATCATTCATGGATGGATGGGAGAGGACCCAATTGCAACAGTGAATTGTCAGGTCAGAAATTGATCAGCCTAGATGACTACTAGTTAGGAATTCTAAGGGTAGGCTGCGGTAACGAAAAATTGGATTTGTTTGTGGCATATGCTCCTTTAACTAAAAAAGAGGAAAAACAATGGGATGATGGGATGTAATGGGTAGGGCTGTTTATAAGAAGACCCAAACCGACCAACCCGGTCTGATTCAACCTGAGTTGGCCGGGTTTTCTTTAGCGTCAGTCGGTTTTGGGTTATTAAAAGGCATAAACCGATGGGTCGGTTTCCACACATGAAAATCGAAACCGAACCGACCCGAACTGACTTAGTTCCTAGTTAGTACCTAACTTGGTTTCTACTTTCTAGTTACTTATAGTTTCTACTTTCTAGTCTTCTCTTTAAGAATGTCATCAATGGCAAGCATTGCAAGACAAGGAATGCCATTAATGCCATTAATAGCTTATTGCATTTTTTTGGAAGGTTTAAAGAAAGGATCATATTCTCTAAGGTCCTTTACACCAAATAGGTAATTACAATTAGGTGTCTTTTTTACTTAGATTAGAAGACTTCTTAAAAATTCCAAATTTTAGTCTTCTTTTTCTAACACAATTTGACTCTTTCTTTTCTTGGTAACTTCTAACTTGGTTTGCCCTTACTCCTTTAGCCCCTCAACTCAAGCACTTAAACTGACTCAAATCGATCAGGTTGGTTTTGCCTAACACAAGGTCGGTTTTGGTTTCATTTTCAGACAACTTGACTAGGTCGGGTCGGTTGGAAAAATAGCAGTAAACTGATTCAACCCAACCCATGAATAGCCCTACTAATGGTTAGGGATGGAGAAGGGGGAATTGGGTATGGATTAAGACTTTGAATGGTTAAAGCTGAAAAACCTTAAATATGAAATTAATGCTTAAATTGTGGTGGAATACGTGAATGATCAATATATAGATTATAGTTTCAAACAAATGAATAATGTTATGTCTAGAGTTGCAACGACTAGCAATTAAATAAAGACAAACAATATTCAAATGTAATTGCTAAAGATAAATAGTTGAAATCAACATTTTCAAACCTGCGTTGACCTGAGCCGTTTGGACCAGAAATTGGTCACTCAAATGGTTTTGGTTTTACCCTAAACCGTAGGCAACGGTTAGTGGTTTGTCATTTATATTTATTTTGGTTTATTACCTGATATATATGTAGGAAAAAGAATCTACTCGTGCGAGTAGATCACGGTTCAAAATATCGATACGTCGGTAGGGGCGTATCGGGTGAATTGATACACATTTTGGTTGTTTTTTTTATTTTCTTTAGCAACTGGTTTAGGTTTCCTCTACCCCTTGAACCGGTCAGACCTTCGATACACCCATTGTAGGGGCGTATTGGAGGGGTCCTGGAACGATACGTATTGATCGATATGGACCGATACTTTGAACCTTGGAGTAGATTCTCATGTGAGAGCAACCCAGTAATTATTGCCATATAAATAACAATAATTATTGATTATTATAGTAATTAATTACTGTAATTTAATAGTTATTGATTATTACAGTAATTTAATAAGTATATCTTAATTACTAATTATTACAATAATTTAATAAATATATAATAAGTGATTATAATTAATAATTACTGTTATTATAAATATTGTTAAAAACTAGATAATTACTTTAAAATTATAAATACTGTTATTAAAAAAATACTATTAATAAATTATTGATTATTACAATAATTTAATAAATATATAATTAGTGATTATAATTAATAATTACTGTTATTATAAATATTGTTAATAAATTTAGTAATTATTGTTATATTAAAAATAATTAAAAATGTTATCAAAAGTATTGATATTGATTATTTAATAAAATATTATAATTATTGACTACTACTGATAAATATTGTTAATTTAATTTAATTTTAGTAATTATTAATTTAATGAATATTGTTAATAAATCATATTCATAAATTTAATATTTATTGTTATATTAAAAATAACTAAATTAATATTATTAAAATTATCATTAATGATTATTTAATTAAATAGTATAATTACCTACTATGATTGATAAATGTTGTTAATAACGTTCTGACAAGCGATAGTTCGATTGTCCATTCGAATGGATGACCCGTTCTGACAACAAAAATTACAAGCAAAAAATTACGTAACCGTTTTCGCCATCGGTTTTTGGGTCAACACTTCGATCATCCGGTTCAAATGGATGGTCCATTTTGACAACAAAAATTATAGGCAAAAAATTGAGTTTGTGAGGTCCATTAAGTAGTATTATACGTGTTATGTCATTCGAGTGTGTGACTCATACGATTCGAAAACGAAATCATTTTGGCCACTGCTTTTTGGGTCGATGGTTTGACTGTTCGGTTCGAACGGGCGGTTCGTTTTGACAACAAAAAGTTACAAGCAAAAAATTATGGAACCGTTCTGGCCATTGGTTTTCGGGTCAACGGTTCGATCGTCCGATTTGAACGGACGACCTATTCTGACAACAAAAATTACAGGCAAAAAATTGAGTGTGTGAGGTCCATTAAGCAGTATCGTATGTGTTATGTCATTTGAATGTGTAACCCATACAACCCAAAAATGGAACTGTTCTGGCCATTGGTTTTCGGGTTGATGGTTCGAATGGACGACCCATTTTGACAACAAAAATTAAAAAATAAAAAGAAAATGACCAAAAACCATTGAATGGGTCAATGGGTTAATGGTTCGACCACTTGGGTCAATGGGTTGTTGACTGATTCAACGGTTTTTGGACAAGGACCGGGATTGGGATAAAATGGAACTGGTTGCTTAGATGGTTCCCAATTAAAAAAATAAAAAAATGGATGACCCGTTCTAACAAAAAAAATTATAGGCAAAAAATTGAGTGTGTGAGGCCCATTAAGCAGTACCATACGTGTTGTCATTCGAGCGTGTGACTCATATGACCTGAAGACGGAACTGCTCTGGCCACCGGTTTTCGGGTCGACATTTCAACTGTTCGGTTAGAACGGATGGTTTGTTCTAACAACAAAAATTAAAAAAGTAAATGACCAAAAGCCATTGAATGGGTCAACAATTTGACCACTTGGAACATGAGTCGTTGACCGATTCAACGATTTTTGGCCATGGACTGAGATTAGGATAAAACGGAACCGGTTTCCTGGATGGTTCCCAATTAAAAAAAATAAAAAACAGCCAAAAACCATTGAACGGGTCAACGGGTTGACGGTTCGATCGCTCGGGTCAATGGGTCGTTGACTGATTCAACGGTTTTTGGCCAGGGACCGGGTCAATGGATCGACATTCCATTCCAGCCCTTGCAAAGCAAGGCCCCTCCGCTAGTTTTGTTTTAAAATAAAAAGAAACAAAAAAGAAAATGACAAACCTATCCCAACTAAACATTCGATGACTCCTCCGATCATCCTTGTAAGGTTTTGTTTTGCCAAAACCTAATATCTTCACAAGCTTCACCAAAGAAGATGACGGTGGCACACAGACACCTACCTTCCTGAAGTCCGAACAACCACCTGTCGATGACCAAGACTTGTAGTGGTAGATGACGAACACGGTGGAAGACTGTTTCCTTCGTTTTCGAACATCTCTGATCTCTTGAAACGAAAGGAGTGCAACCACTATGGATATCCAACTTTGGCGACCAATCTTAGCTGCAACTGTCGGTGACCACTCTGGAAGGAGTACAACGGTGACTATAAGGTATAAAATTTGCATGTGATTGTGTTTTTTCATTTTTCTCTAATTTGATCATAATCTTTGCACATTAAGCCATTAACTCATTCCCCTTTTTTCTTTTTGGCAATGCTATGATTTCTTGCATCAGGAACCACTGATGAGACTGAAAAGAACCATATTTTTGTCCCATAATTTTCATCTTTTTACATTATTTTAGCACTTAAATGAACTCATTACTCTTGTATTTCGATTCAGGGCAATAAAGAAGGCAATTGGAAGAAAACAGGGCAAATCGGGTGATTTTGCACAGTTTCAGCGACAGTTAGTAATC